AAACCGTAACTGCATGACTACAGTATATCATCGGTCCTGACTTCAAAAAGACGAATCAGCAGTGTTACCATGAACCGTGTTACTTAATGGATGTCTGGGCTGTTTCTCGGCTCCTCCTGGGCAACATCACACAAGCAGCTGAGGGGTTTTTGTTCCCGTGGCCGGACAGCACCAGGTGTCAAACCCTATGGATCCACCACCAACCTTACCAGGCAGCTCCACACCAGCTGTGGCTCATGTGGCCCATTCTGGCATAAACTCACAGCTGAAACCATAAAAAAGCACAAGTGACACTTGGTTTGAATCCAGCTTTATAGGTTTTTTTTAGAGAGAATCTGGAAAAAATGCTTTTTTTTATATCAGAAGGCAAAAACTCACTCTGCTGTTTGTTATTAATACGACATCCAGCTCTAGTGTCTTGCCTGCAGTATAAATATTATGTTTTATGTGCACAGCAAGAACAAGAAACAGGATCTTGAGTCATGTGCGGTTTTTGAAATGTGATTTAAGTATCTACGTGACGACAGCACCGTGATATAAATGTTTAACAAAACCCATTTGAAGGGCAGTGCAGAACAACAAAACTTAACGCTGGTTAAATCTTATTTAAGATAAGAGAAGAGAGAGAATAAATTAACAAGAGCATGAGGGAAGTTTAGAGACAGTATGAGCTAAGATGAAAGGCAAATAAATAAAGACTCTGCCCAGGAAAAATACGGAAACTGTGCCATGTCATTTGACCTGGAAGTTTCATTAGAACAGATAAAATGAAGCAGGAAATTTCCTTTGAGCTGCTGTATTTGGAGGATCTTGAAACCTACAAGTGATTAGAAAGCTTTTGTCCAACACATTGTTTTCTCTTTGATTCAAAAATCTATGGCTAAAGACTTTGTTGAGTGGCCATTGAGGTGGTCCATATGGCGGTGTGAAGGCCCAGGGCTCGTGATTCTCTGGAGGATGTAGAGGAAACCAGACAAAGGCTCAGCCAGCAGACCCTGAGCCTCAATGGAGCACTGGCAGATCCCCCACTGGGACCAGTTGCCTGTATGTTCTCCAACCAAAGTCTGATCTATGGAAACTGGTCACTACACCATAATACGTTCAGCCATCCATACTCCAGCCCCCCCCCTGGGCCACATGGTCTCTCTTTAAAGGTGAATAGCAGTTAAGGAATGTTTAAGAATCTATTGGCATGTGACAAACTCATCATGGACAGCACGCAGATGCATTTGAAGTGGGGTGTTACTGTTATTGAACAGCTGGATGTAATGCAAGCTTTTAAAATATTTAGATAGGAAAAGCATTTAAAAAAAACTGCTTTGTAAAAGTGTTATTATGATGAGACTGTGATGTGTGTAGGCTTGAAATTCAGATGTTATTTTGGCTACAGGATCTGTCTCAAAATATGCATACATGCACATGTGAGAAAAGATGAAAGAAATATTTAATGTATACAGTAGAATGGAAAATGCAATATATTATATCAAGCTTTTGACTCATGAGCATAAGAGTACATACTACGCTGTATTGTGTTAAATTAGGACTAATGTTCATAATTCTTTTAATATGTTTGCTTTTTTTCATCTTTCAGTTTTA